CGCTACCTCCTCCTCACGTATATCCTCCTCCAACCTCTCACAAAGTTTCGTCTCCAGTACATTACGACCCTCCCCCGCCAAATCATGCGATCCTATACCCACCCATCCCCTCCATTTTTCCCGAAACCAAGCATCAGCATAAGAGCTCATGCTTTCTGTTGTGGCGAGAACCGTACCATCCTGGTATCCTCCCACCCCGAAGCTTGCCACTAATCGCAACACGGTAGTCACAGCACAACGCTCTCGGAACTTCCATAACACAAAACCAGACGGCTTGTCGCCCCATAGCACGTCCTCCAGTCCTGAACGATAACGTATTCCATTAAACCTTTCGTTACGGATGTCTGCAAGTCTATCCCTTATAGATTCCGCCTCACCCCCCCCCCCACCTCCCCTGTCGTAGCAATCCTTCAGCAGTACTTCCAAATAATTTTGTAATCCGTAATGCCACCTCGCTTCCTCTCTCCCCCTGCCTCAGAAATAGGAAGCAATACAAGGCTTTGCTTTCGACTCCCACCAGTCAATGAGCTGCAATACCCTATCCCTACTCTCAGTGACCCTACCCACCATTCTTCGAACCCTGCACCCCTTTCCTCACTCCTAAGCAATCCTACGTTCAACTTCCAATAACCAGCATGAACTCTGACCACTCCCTCCCACTGCAAGTCAGCTATTACCCCTCTGTGATCTGAGAAACCTACATCAACCGTTTGCACGTCCCTGACCTCCATGCCCCGCATTACATAAATCCTGTCTAGTCGCACTGCATATTCTCACCTGACAAAAGTATGCTAAGGCGCTAAACGACCCCCCCCCACTACGTCCACGACACCAACATCATGCAATGAGTCTCGCAGAACTTTTAATACACACCCCGCCCCCCTTGGTTCCACGTCCCTTTCACGAATCACACAGTTCCAATCCCCACCAATGATCGTGACCACTATATAAGTGGTGGCTTTCCTTTATGCCAATGTGGTTTACTCATGGCGACTTTCCCCGTTCGGCGACCAGGCGCCTCACAGGTCTACCTGATCACCATCACTCTCCCGTGCCCATCTACTGCGTAGCTCTTGGGTCACTGGGCCAGCCCGTACTTCTGTCAACTCCTCTGCCGCCCACGCCTTTTTTCCTGGGCGCTGGCTTGGTGTGAGAACCTCTTCTACCTCTGACGTTCCAGCCGGTCTCTTTCTGGAGCCGCAACTGACACTCATATCCACGTTCTGGCCTTGCTCCTGATGAACTTCCACTTGCACTACCTGCTGCAAGGTACCTGCACTGGGGATCCCTTCCCCAGGCGATGGGACCGTCGTGAGTTCCTCACCTGCACTGAAGACACCAGTCACAGCCGTTCCCAAAAACTCCTGGAGTACCTGGTCCATGAAGCACTCCTGGGGTGCACTATCCTGACATCCCTGCTCACCTGGCAATTCGTCCACATCCTCCGAACGCTCAGGGAGCATTACACACCTGACAGCCGACTGTTCCTCACGGTCTACCTCCTCGCTCCAGTGACCACTCCGCAAGTCAGCTCCGCCATCCCGCTCGGGCCCCAGATCACACAATCGTTGCTCCACTGCCGACGCTTCCGGCCCTCTGGACCATTGTCGCCTGGGACACTGTGCCACCATATGATCATAAGAGCAACAGAGGCGACACATCTGCCGCTGACCAGCGTAATGCACAAAAACTTGCATTCTGTGTCCCACCAACGTTACGTATGATGGGATCGGCCATGCCAACGACATCTTGAGAGTATAGGACCCCTCAGGGAGCCCCTCATACGGCCCATCCTTCCAGACTCCCATCGTCGCCAAATGCACCCGGCCATAGCTACTAAAAGCCTACTTCAGCCCATACACAGTTGCCTCGAAAGGCACATTACACACCTTAACCCATGTGTAGTATTTGGATACATCGTGCATGATGACGTCCACTGCCAAGTTGACAGTTATCCTCTTCTCCTGGAATTCTTCAATGAGCCTGTCATACAAACTGGCACGATTCAGTTTTATGAAGATTCTTGACATTCCATTCAGCGCCACACTGTATAATTCCTCTGTTGGTACACCATAGACGTCTCTGATGATGTTTGGCAATAGGACATTCATCGTTGCAGTGCTAAGCGTGCCTTTGACCAGTTATATGCAGACAGTGTTCACTTGGCATTCACCTCCCTCTGCCATTTTGTCGATGCACTGCCAAAGAAAACCACCAGAGGTGTGGAAAATACTGTATATATTTTCTAGACATACAGTAGTTATATGTAAATAGATGGCCATACTGTATTTAATAAAAATTTGTTATAAAATATGGGAAGCTGCGCCTGTGCAGATGACACTCGCCATGTTTGAATTGAGTCCACACAAACGGTAGTGAATAATCTGAAGAATTTTCGTGCTCTAGAGGTTAAAATTGGGCTGACACCTCTCAAATAGGAGACAAAATTGTTGGATGTGCATTCCTGCATAAATTGAGATATCAGACGACTGGACAAGACAGCTCCAGGAACCTCAGATAAGCTATCTAGATTTGTGTTATAATTCTGGCAAGTATTTTCATAAATTTAGACAGTGAGGTTTTCTGAGTATGATACACCTTGACCTCCAGTCAAATTGGTGAGTGATATTACGATATATTCTCCTTCTGTTATGTAAATTGTATATATATATAATCAATTATTAATTTTAATATACAGTCCACAAATTTATATATTTACCAGAATTCTTGTTGATGCATCTTTCATTTGTAATTAATAGGTCTAGAGCAACTTGTGGATATGACAGTTGTAGGTATCGAAGGGGGACATTTTTGTGACCTAGGTGTCCCAAATTCCTACTTGTCTATGTAACTGATAAATAATAATTATCTTTGTTATCATTTACTGTTATGTACATCATGAGTTACATTCAGATAAATGTAATTTTCCATAAGAGGGCAGGTGTAGCAGTCAAGACGAGCGTCCTCTCACACCTGTGGTTGAGAGGCGAAAGTCCAGTAACTATTATAATTCATAGCAACATATGTGTATATTACTCACCAAGATAACCCCAAAACATCAGCGACTCTTTTCACTTGGGTTCTTGTAATATCTTGTTATTTAAGGCCAAGCTTAATATCTTACTAGTGTAAGACTTCTCAGTTCAAATCTTGAACCATCTATTCTAATTATCTACCTCAACTTTCAATTTTCGCAAAGAACTTTCTCTTAATATTTCAGCTGTTTGTTGACGATTATCTGTTTCTGTTTCCACTGTTTGTAAACAACTATCTACTACTATTACTGTTTGTGGATGACTATTTCTTACTATCTCCACTGTTTACAAAGAACCATATGTTTCAGATCCTATTCTTAGAAGAACAATCTATTGATTTGTATTATTTACAGAGGTCTACCTAATATTATTTCCCTTCTCTAATGTAATAATTATTAGTGAGTTAGTAATGAAATATCACTGTATATATTCTCATTTTATTAGGCTCTATATCACGATGAATTTCGACTCATATTATTAGTATAAGTCAATAACATTCACAGATAACGAGCATCATGAGGAGGAAAAAGGCAACATGGGCAAGTGAGAGTCAGTACTGGCGAAAGTATGTTGTAGTTTCTTATATTTTCACCCTTCGTGTCCAGTCAGTAGCTTAAACGAGGCAAGATGCTTTAGTTTTGCGCGTTGCATCCTCAGGGCGGATGCTCCATTTACTGATGTGATCTGACTTAGAGGCTGTTTAGAGATGTTTATGAGAGATTTCTGCTCCTCCAGATGAGCTCGCCCCAATGAATCGGAAGAATTACATAAAATTAAACACATTGGAATTTTGTATCTTTGTAACGATCTTCTATCTTGTATCTGTACTTCTGGGTGTGTATCCTTTTACTATGTCTTCGTTTAGCTATCCTTTGTGTCTTCTGTTTGACATCCTTATACGTGTATCATCTATGTTTATATCCATGTTTAGTACACCTTGGTGTGTATCTTCGTGTTGATCTCCAACGTGTATATGCTTATAGATATTTAGTCTTTTTCGAATATATTTTAGTCTGCCTAAGAAGACCACATTTAGAGGCCGATATCTATATTATTCTCATATCCCTCTCCTTTATTTTCTCATATGACTTCATTTCTATAAATGACCGTATTTATTACTCTTTTCCAAGCGGATTCCCTTTCCACAACTGACCAGTTTCCTGTATAAAGAAGCAAGAGGTAATATTTAATCAACTAAGGCATTTTTCTGTTTAATAAATATATTTTGTTAAATACATTACCTCAAAGATAATTAAACGTGACTGAATAATAAATATTAAGCCACTTTTCCTGGGTAAACTCGTCTCATAGCAGTAAATGAACTTTTATTAATATATTTCTTCACTCTGGAACTGTGTATGGGTACTGTTAGTTTGAACACATTTCTGCCAATTACTCACTCATGGCACTTCACGATATATATTGTTCTGAAAGCCTTTGAAAAAATATAGCTGCATTCGCGCTGATTTTTTCAAGAAAATTTAGAAGAAATTAACATTTCTCAAGTGGTTATAATGATGGTAAAAATACCGACAATATGTAAGGTAAAAAAGACACATAAATAACTAATGTAACTTTTTGTTGTGGGAAAGTTTCGCTCACCATGGTCTATGTCAAGCAATTACGGCTTGACAAAGCTCCTGGACGGCGAAACGTTGCTACAGTATAATTTATCTCAAATAAATAAGGAGGACCATTAAGACGTAAAGAAAAATGAGAAGAATAATGGAGAATAAATGTTAGAGTAACTTATTCTTGGAAACGTAGGAAAACTTAAAATAAATATTAGATAACCAGAAAAAGAGCACTCTGGTAGGTAGCAAAGATTGGTCAGGAAACTCTTGTGTTTCCTGACGCAAGTCTTAGTCACATCATGACCCGCCACTGGAATATTTGGTCACCTGACTGAGGCCTTCCACTGGTTTACCAGTCATGTGATGAACCACCACTTGAGATATTGGTCATATGACCGAGGCCTTCCACTGGCTTACCAGTCTTATGATGACCGGCTACCAGAGATACTGGTCATATAACCGAGTCCTTCCACTGGCTAACCAATCATATGATGACGCGCCACCGGACATATTGGTGATATGACCGATTCCTTCACATGGCCTACCAAGGCACTCATTCAAAAATACAAACATTACCTTTCTAACAGATACAAAACAAGACAACTAGAATAATTAACGTCCTTACTAATGTCCTTACTAAAAATATCTGTCTGTAAATAAGTATAAAGTAGACATTAGTGAATCACAGTCACCTTTATATAATTTAAATCGAAACAGCTCTAATGGCAAATAAAAAAATATATAAATATAATTATACTATAATCTTATAATTAAAAATGATCTTGTTCTCAGTGAAGAGTCTAAATATAAACAGGAATATTTGGGAGGAAAATAACGGTAAATTAACATCAAAAACACATCACTGGAAACAAATAATAACACAACTTTGTGAACCAATAACAACAGTTTTGTTAAATGAATAAAACAGTTTTGTTAAATCAATAAAATATAGTTTTGTTAAATCAATAAAACACAGTTTTGTTAAATCAATAAAACACAGTTTTGTTAAATCAATGAAACACAGTTTTGTTAAATCAATAAAACATAGTTTTGTTAAATCAATAAAACACAGTTTTTCTAAACCAATAAAACACGGTTTTGTTAAATTAGTAAAACACATACACCTATATAAGCTAATACCTTCACAGTTATTTTAAACAATTAAGAACACACTTGTGCAAACCGTTAACAACATACATCTCATGACGTAATGTTTGTAATGGTGTACATTAACAACATACATCTCATGACGTAATGTTTATAATGGTGTACATTAACAACATACATCTCATGACGTAATGTTTGTAATGGTGTACATTAACAACATACATCTCATGACGTAATGTTTGTAATGGTGTACATTAACAACATACATCTCATGACGTAATGTTTATAATGGTGTACATTAACAACATACATCTCATGACGTAATGTTTGTAATGGTGTACATTAACAACATACATCTCATGACGTAATGTTTATAATGGTGTACATTAACAACATACATCTCATGACATAATGTTTATAATGGTGTACATTAACAACATACATCTCATGACCCAATGTTTATAATGGCGTATATTAACAACATACATCTCATGACGTAATGTTTATAATGGTGTACATTAACAACATACATCTCATGACGTAATGTTTATAATGGTGTACATTAACAACATACATCTCATGACGTAATGTTTATAATGGTGTACATTAACAACATACATCTCATGACGTAATGTTTATAATGGTGTACATTAACAACATACATCTCATGACCCAATGTTTATAATGGTGTACATTAACAACATACATCTCATGACCCAATGTTTATAATGGTGTACATTAACAACATACATCTCATGACGTAATGTTTATAATGGCGTACATTAACAACATACATCTCATGACGTAATGTTTATAATGGTGTACATTAACAACAACAGCTATAAAAAAACAACAGCAACACAGGATTACATCAAATTAAATATAAGTGAGGGCGCTGTCAGGCGGAACAAAGGAAAATAGTCACTGAAAGAAGAATGACTGAAAAATCAAATAAAATATGTACCTGAAAGACAACCAATAATTCACGAAATCGTAATAGGACGATTGCAAACATTCCAGGGAATGAGTGGATTTCGAACCCATGGTAGGTTTTACGGCTCCCTTGTCATAGGATCGAATCCCACCCGTTCTGTGATCTGATTAATGAACTCATAGTTGAAGGAGGAGTGTTAATGTAAGGATTACTTGTTAGATTTAAAGCAAACGTGGGGATAATAACAACTGCTTAATAAATAATAATAATAATAATAATAATAATAAATAATAATAATAATGATATAATAATAACAATAATAATAATAATAATGATAATAATAATAATAATAATAATAATAATAATAATAATAATAATAATAATAATAATAATAATAATAATGATATAATAATAACAATAATAATAATAATAATAATAATAATAATAATAATAATAATAATAATAATAATAATGCTATAATAATAATAATAATAATTACATCATTATTTCTACAAGTACATGTACTAGGTACACAGATTACATGAGAACATAAGAATGGAGGAACACTACAGCAGGCTTACTGGCCCATCTCAAAACCAACCCTTCCCACCCAACTAATTATCTAACCTTTCCCTAAAGACTCCCCAAAAGTTTGCTTCAATATTACAGGTACTACTCAAACCCAGCCCTTCTCACTAGTATATTTGTCTAATATTTAAAGCTACCCAAGGTTTTAGCTTCTATTACGCTACTTGAGAGATTATTCCACTCAACAACTCTGAAAACCAGTACTTTCCTAGGTCTTTTCTAAATGTAAATTTGTATAACATAAATTCATTATTTCTAGTTCTTTATTCAATTTCTTCAGTACTTTATTAACACTGCCTTTGTTAATTCCTCTCTTCTATTCATAAACTACAATGATATCTCCCTTTTGAATCAATGATTAGAATAACATGCTAGAATCAAAGTTAATCTGAGAAACGTGATGTATAACAAGATTAGAAGGAAGAATAGTGACGCTGTAATGTAAGGCAATGATAAGAGGTTATATAAATATCTGGGAACTGCAGACAAAATAATGGAGTTCAAGTGTGAGATGTCTACTTCATTCTCTCTTTAATGTTTCTAAAGCAGTAACTATAATATCTATTATGTACCCACATACCCGTCCTGTGGGTGGTAGACAGAAGATTAACTTGTTTACCTATCCAGAGATAGCTAAACTAGTTACAGTGGTAATGAACTGCTTACTTGTTTAAATCTAGTTATAATCACAATGAGTTATTAATGCAGATATGAATTAAGTCACAAAAATATTACAATGAAACTTAAATGTGGTATTGAATTATTGAAATTACGTTACATTTTAGTCAGCATCTACAGCAGACTACTTCATAAGTGTAGTAACTAAATTTAAATACGATGAATTACAGTAAATCCTCGTGAAAACTATTTTAGTGCAGGTTAGAGATTCTAAAATGAAGAATGTTTATGGTCCCTGTATCGAAATTCTTACTTGAAAAAAGTGAATGGTTACAAATGATGAAATTATGTTCTCCTCTCTATATGCTTCATTAGGCAGAACTAATTAATCATAACAATGAAGCTGGAAAACAATTAGCGCACTTGTGAGGTTTGAAGTGACTTTTCCAGTATCGTGAAGGGTGTTATGTACTCTGTCAAATTTTTCCCAACAATGAATGGCATAGAAAATCCAATAATCTTCCTCGTACAATATCTCCACTAATGCTTGGAAATTATATCATTGAAAGGCATTAAAAAAAATATCTTGAACAGAAAATATTACTACCAATAACTGTGAATTAAAGTTTTTAGCCAGCACAGTTGTCAACAAGGATCGTGGTGGTAAAGGCAAGAATAATACTTTATCACTAAATATTATTAGATGCCCAGCTATTTCAAAATCTCTTAACATTTACTTTAACAATGTAGAAATTTCATGTAAGTCAGAAATGGACAAACGCAGATTTGTTTTTTTACTCATGACATGTAATTAACAGAAGTTGAACATGATATCCGTACTGGTGAAAGGTAAACAACCAAGGCAGCGAATAGCAGTCGACCACAAACGACAAGGAGATCCGATTGTGTATAAATTCCTGAAAAAAATGTATATGCAAACCGTCGTGAGTGAATGTAGATGTAAAAAGTCTTTCATTACAACAATAACATATTCAATGATAGTTTAAAAAAAATATGAGATTGAGGGACTGATAAGCATTTTACTCAGATTCAGCTGAGTGACTTGTGTGATGCTGACTGGTCGTATTTTAATTATTGATCAATTGCTCCGGCATTTTTGTTTAAGTCGTCAATTTTAGAATTATCAAAATACCTCCAGGGCTCCATGGGAACTTCTAGAAAAGTTTTAGGTGTTTAAATTTGTTTTACCTAAGAGTTTTTATTAAATTTTGAGCGAAAGTTTTACATATTATTGTTGAGTATTTGCTCGACTAAGTACTGTATATTTTTGATAGAAGGCTTTCCCATGGGCGTTATTTTTGTATTCATTTTTATTGCCAAGAATGATGTGATACAGCATTAACAGTGTCTCCCTCCTGGCTGTATCTACCTTAAGCAAGATCTTGTCTTCGTTACTGTTTCATTTCTAACTGTTCCTACCTTGTACAAGTTCTCTTCTTCCTTAGAGCCTGTTTGTTGTCTGCACTTACCATGTATAAGTTCTTGAAACCCCCAGGTCTGTGTCTTGTTTGCATCTACTACGTTCAACAGTTTGTTTACCGCAGGCTGTCACCAAGTCACTCTTACCGCGTACAAAATCTTGTATTCCCAAGGATCTATCACCTAGTAGCACCTGCTTAGTGTGTCCAGTGGGTGTTCCACCACTCATATATGTTCATCTTCCTTAGGATCTGTTACCTGGCCGCACATACCACGTACAAGTATTGGCTGTAAATGCCAGAGGGTCATCACTTCCGTCTCCTACCCTCAGTATCACCACCTTACAAGAACCGCCCACAGCACCGCCCACACGTCTCCGCGCCCAAGCCAACCAGCAGAAGGCTATCACCCTGTCCTGGCAGGTAATTATACACTGATATATACACAAATAACCCGCACATAAAAGAGAGAAGCTTACGACGACGTTTCGGTCCGACTTAGACCATTTACAAAGTTACACTAACCAGAAGTGGAGCAGGACGGCTATACATAGGCAGGAAGAGGTGGTGGTGGTAGTAGTAGTGGTAGTAGTAGTGGTAGTAGTAGTAGTAGAGTACTAGAGGTAGTAGTAGTGGTAGTGGTAGTAGTGGGGAATAAGGAGGACGAGCCAGTCAAATACAAAGGAAGGGGAGCACTGCAAGGGA